TAGATGCTCCAAAAAAGAGTGAGTCGCGGCCCAAAATTTCTTCTTGCTACATTTCTCATCATTTAAGATATTCCCTTTTTTGTAAGCAGGACTGGCGAAGAGAGAAGGCACAACTTTTATGCACTTTACGCGCAAAAAAATCAGCAACCGTAATTGGACCTAGCTCGCTTACAACGACTGTTGTCAAGCCGCTGTTCCACAATGCGTCATAATCCCAGCAAATGACGTTAATGAGATTAATTGGAGATAATGAAACAATGCCTTTTGGAAATGAATATCTAAATTCAAAATATGTGGAAAATAAATGTGTACTTTATGGATTTTTGGCTGCCAAGGCAGCCAAGAATCAATAATGAATCAATCAGAATCAGTAATGTACACGTAGCATACTCTCGTAGTCTAGAGACAGGGCCTCAAAAGTGAAGGTTGTTTGATTATCTGCCCCTCATAAAAAGTGAAGGTTGTTCATATAGAACCAGGGAAGAAAAAAGATGTAAAACAGTTAGTAAAAGCAAAAGAAACTCTTGAAAATCAGACAAAAACGCTGCAGTAAATTTGAAATCTTTCATTTGGCGGCATTGCAGATTTTCGCTCCCGGACCACGTAATCCACAACACGGAGGGGGGGGGGGGGACGAGGAAAAGCTAGTTTTTCTTTGTGTTTATTCCAAAAACAACCATGTTTCGGAAGTAACGACTGTCAAGAGAAGATAAACAAGAAAAGAATTAGTCTAGAAAACGTAGAGTTTTGTCCTTATCAAGTCGAAATGCGCGTCAAAGCCAACCTAGTTTTTGGTGCGCCCTTTGGATATTTACCCCAGCATTGTGGTGTTTCTCGCTCTCTGGGACGTTGTCTAAATTGTTGGGCTCATTAATCGGAGCAATTATCGCCCAAGCTGGAGAACAAGGTAAAGGAAAACGCAATTCTTACGGTTTTCACAAAAAATTCCGCTTTAATCGAAGGGATAAGCAGGTCATCGTCTACATCATGGACAAAAACAGATCTGTAGAATGCACGAAAAAATCGCGTGAAAAGTATCAAAGTAGGGGAATAACTTAGATTTTCGGAAACAAGGTTTTTGCAGGATTTCTCATCCAAATCAAGAAATGTGGCTTTGGGACGTTGTCAGCGCGAAAGTAGAGATCAAGAGCTTCAATATAATATATATAGCTTGTCAAAATTGAGTGCTCAAAACAACGAAGAAAAGGTATCAGAGCCAAATGCCTCGCGCCCGCGTTTGAGATGGCGAGGTTGCGCGCAACGCGCGGGGACGCAGCGGAGGAAGGCCAGAACCGACGGGGCATTTGGCCTCTGGTTGTGGAGCTCCACGGGGTCTCAGCGAAACCCTGCAACATTATATATTATTTGATCTGATCGTCATGACGACGAGGAGGACTAATAACGTCCCAAGCGCTGGAAACCACTCATTAACGAGAAAGACCAGCATTTTCGTGCGCGAGCCTTTGCGTAGGATTCAAGCACATTTCGCTTTTTTATTCAGCTCCAGCAGCTTTCCTAAACTTCTGAAACTCAATTTTAGTCAAATTAGGGTTAAGTGAGAAGCGTTGTCTTGAATTCTGAAGAAACGTTTAAAGAAACCATTTATTCAGCGAAGGCTATAAAATGCAAGTTTTTGGTTTCGCTGAGATAATCTAAAGATATTATTCACTATTTTTGCTTCACTCACATTCATTCCAGTGTAGTCATTGCAACATCCGGGCGAAGCCCCTGATGTTATAATTCTGGCTATATTGGAATGAATGTCAATATCATGATATCCGTTGTGATCTATCATGCGCTCAAAGTGAAGGTTACCAGAGTACATGCCCCTATGTATCGGAAGTATGAGTGTTGAATGCGATATGAATGCTTTTTGAAAGCACCAAAAGTGAGTAGGGAGATCACAAAACGATATCAATTTTGTCATGTGCCATGACGAAAAACTGAACTCCATACTGCAACACACCTTATAAATACCAAGCAAACGACAGTCTAAATTAGGTACTCAAGTTTCCATGTCCAGACTCGTAAGTTCATAACTTGTTGTAAGTGTCCGGGATTTCTGATTAGATGTGTTTACACGATTCTAGCTTCTTGCAATGTGCTTGTGCTCCATCATAGTTCGTGTGAGCAGCGATAGAGATTGTCAGACGGAATGCAACGGAGGAGAGAGTGCAGAGACTGAAGAAACTGCCGAGTTGAAGCGTCCCAGAAGAAGTCTTGCAGAGACTGAAGAAACTGCCGAGTTGAAGCGTCTCCGAAAAAGTCTATCTACCTTCTTGAGCATGACTCTAAGAAATTATGTAGGGTTATTATTACTACAATGGCTAAAAATTCTTGCAAGATTCTATTATCGCCAATTACACCTTATTCCACAATGCTTTTGATGTTAGAGAGCTACAGTGCAACTTCACAAACTTCTAGAAATCTTACAGATCTCACTGTAAGGGCTGAAGCTGAATAGACTCTTCATCAAAAATTTGCTTTTCTCAGTGGTAATCAGTGTTTTTGCAGTGCTACAGATGCCTCCTTGAACAAGCCGCTAAAGCTTATTATAGTGACCAGGGCCTTTACTCCGAAACGACAAGAGGGAGAGTTGATCTGGTATGTATATGCAGTTACAACATTTATAAATTAACAGAATTTTTGTAGGAACCGGTTTGGATATTCTATGATAAGAACAGTGAAGGAAAGATGCCCGAAGCGTACATTCTATTGAAACTGAAAAATAAGCTCAGATTAAAACTCATACAGGTCTGCTATTACAAGTTTGATAATTTGGCGGTCGGTCATTCGGTCATGGGATTTCAGTCCGGGGCGGGGGGGGGGGGGGGGAAGGGTAAATCGCGGCAAAGAAATTTCTGAATGAAAGTGCGTGGCCTTAGCCGCGCACCCCTAAAATGTTTGCGGGAGGATTCCCAGATTTTTTGAGAGCCCATAACCTCAAAAGTTTAGTAAAAAGAGCAGGCCTCTACCAAAAAATGTTACTACGTGAAATTTGAATTTTTGGGAAATTTCGAAATTTGTCATAAACAAAATTGTAAACAACTCACTGCACTCCTCATAACTCTTGTAAGTAATTTTCAAAAATTGCAATCTACAATTAACTCTTTCTTACAGAAAAATGCCAATAAATATGGTTGCTTCATCGACGAAACCGAGTCAAGTGTTAAGCTCCTTTGCATACTCGAAAAGTAAGCGTATGTCTGCATCGTGAGAAGACGTTTGTTTGCAGTTCGTCACCACAACATAGACAAGAATTACATTAATTGCTCATTTGTCAACTATTGTTTTCACGAGTTTATGCACTTGCACACCTGCGTGCGTAATTACTTGTAATCCTATCAAAGATCTTACGCTTTCTTCTTTCAACCTTCCGACCAAACTTTCCACCAGCTAGGTTCCCTTGTAGTTAAAAATGTTTAGTCATCACTCATTGTAAAATGCTCTTCGAACTATTTTATTCTCTTGTTTCAAGAGCCACATATCTATTCGGCATAAAGATTGGTCATGAAAGTATGTGATGATCACTTGACTACCCGTCTTCGGGCTTATGTAGGTGGCAACAAAATGTTCACTTGTTTTGATTTACCAATTGGCATTATTTCGGATCACCTCGATTAATTGACGTTTGCATGCCCTGACTCAAACCTTCTTATTCCCTAGAAAGGTCTACGGGAATGTGTGAGATTGTAATTGGTGCTTTACATGTATACGATATCCCTGACAGTAATATCATGATCATGAAGGATCACGAAGACCTGTGTGAAGGATATCTGCACTCGGATTTAGTGATTTGCAGAACTTCTCCAAACCCTAGATAGGTTTAAAGCATGAAAATCGAAGAATTCGCTTGAACATACTTGGCATGGACTTTTTAACCCACTGACAACGACGCCTAATTTTGCACGGCGGCGGTTTGGGACACTTCGGGTATGGGAAGGCGATGTGGTTATTTATGAAATTCAAGGTCGCTTGTAAACAACTACAAACGTTTTCTTGAACGGCGGAGACGACAGTCCCGAGAGTGCACAAATTTGGAAAAAATATGAATATGTGGAACGAATACTAGACCTACAAATAATATGACTTTGCAAGAGGTAGGGACACCGGTGGTCCACAACGTTCCTGGCAGCAAAAAATGCATGAGCCACCGGTGGTCCACAACGTCGTCAATGGGTTGAGTGCTCAGAAATCTATCGTCATCTCCTCTTGACGGATTTGTTAGCATATCTCTCTTCCGCAACCTCCGATCAAAGAAGTGTAATGTTCCTCAAAGCCACTTCTTTGAATCCTCGAAGTCACAGCTGTATCTCATAGCAGCCAGTGTTTCGGCCTTGAAACGAATGCTATGAAACAAACCCAAAACGAATTTCTTTCACTCTAGTTGATGATTATCCGTGGTGCTCGAAAATATTTCATACGTATCTTTCTTTATGAGGAAGCGAGTAAATAGTGAAATCAGCCTCTCTGCGATTTACCTGACGATAACAATAAGATACGCGCCAGTTCTGATTGAAGCTGCGCCAGAAGAAGCAGACGGTCCACGGATTTCCGTTCGGAAGGGGGGGGGGGGGTACGTTTATTTTATGCTTAAGGCTTATAATAAAAAATTTTTAAATTTGTTTATTCTTTTTATTTCAAGAAATATATTAATATTGCACATATATTTTGAGTTATCGATGTTTCCTAGCGTGGAGTTAGCCATGCGCTCCAAAAAAATTCTTGGGATGCTCCCAAATAGCGGGTCCGTAAATCCAAAGATTGAAAAAGGCGTGGCGGCAGCCATCCCCAAAAAAAAATCCCTTCACTAAACTAACAGCTTTTTGAAACTGTTAAAAAATATTTTGATCGTCAACGAGTATAGGCCAGCCTCCTGCACATTTTTACTAATCATGTAACGTTCAAGTTTCGCGGATGGATATTCGCACAAGTGCGCCACTAAATCACACTTTTGATCATCCCAACATTCAGCCATGACCCTGCCGTCACAAACAAAATGTATTTGAATTTTTACTCTATATAATAAGAGAGGAACAAATAACACCAATAAATCACATTACATACGTATATAGAAACATGACCACGCTCTCAATGTTGTATACATTGTACATTGCGAAGCAAGAGGGCGGGTAAGCGGCAACGAGGCGGTTGCTTTACGCTCTCGTTAGCCCCCACATACTTTTTTGACTATGTTATACAAGAGCTACAAAAACAAACAAATAGTCCTACTCATACCGGTACGGGCACATATCACGCATTTGCGTAAACGAAAACTGTTTGTTAACTAATAAAACAAAAAGAGTAGGAATTTTGTAAGTTAGCTGAAAAGCTTCACTCAACTAGTTACAGTACACATCTGGTACAATCTCACTTACACACGCAACAAACTGTGTATATCACAAACGGAGGCGAAATGGTAAGTAATCACCATTTTGTCAATAATAGAGTAAAAATGCCTTTTACAGGATATATAATAAATAATATAGACACAAACAATGCGTTGATAGCAATAGAAAAACAGTGGCGAAAAACAAGACTTGAAACAACAAATTACAGTAATACGCGCTCTGAACAACAATGGTAGCTGATATTGCAGGCTGATATCGATCGCTATCGATTGATTTGATGATGTGAGCTTAGGGAATGAGGAAGAATATGATGATGGGTTTTGACACACGGCGTTGTGATCGAAACGGAGTGCTCAAAGGGGCAGATTTCGAGGGGCTGGGTCACATACACACACATAAAACCCTCTTCTCACTCTTTCTCTCTATACAGCCATAGTGTTAGATTCCTGGAAAATCAGGAAGCACGGGACAAACGTGGACGACTTGTCTCGCCAGCGTAGGGGAGCGGAATTTACATTCGGAAACCAAAAGCTTCAACAAATTGCACAATGAAGTCCTCCTTCTCGCCAGCTAGCGGCTCATTGTCAAATGTTTCGCACTTCTGGGATCGGCCATGGTTCAGGTCGGCTGGAAAACAAAGAAAATAATTTTAAAAAATCCCCAAAAATTCAAGAAAAATCTTACCATCAAGCCAAAGGCCATAATGTCCACCGCCAGCACCAATGGAAAGAGAATCTTTGGATGCATTCACGAAGAATTGATTTTCTCCAGTCCATGCGTAATTTCGTAGTTCCCTAAAGTATCCCACAATTAAAAATCCATACAGCACTGATAGCAGTTGTCCGTGACTCAGAAACTTCACGCATACCTTGTGTGTGGAGCTTCACCGAGGAATCGCCACAGAAGACATGAGTCTCCAGTGCCGGTGTAGTGATCGGAAGGCCGAATTGCGCCGGATACAACTGCTCCAAAGACGTGTTCACGAGTATCACGGACGATGAGCAAAACAGGTGAAAGGTCTTCATCGAACTCGATCATTTTTCTGGAAAAAAGTAGCAAATTAGGTGACTTTCTTAGGCTTACACTTGACAATAATCATATATTATTGAAAAGTGTACGGAAAATTTCGCGTGGGAAGTGACTGAGAAACCTCGACAAGGCCAACCAAGAGTCACTTCATAAGACTGACTCTTATCCAAGAAATCAAACTTCAAACTCCAGCCCATACAGTGCTTTCTACCGTACTCACTAATTAGTTCGCTCGGAAAAGGTACGGTATGGGTCGCGGTTTTGAATTGAATTTCTTGGACAAGAACTGATCATATGAGCTGCTGTTTGAGCCATGTCTTAAAAACTTCCTATTAGTAACCATAGAAAAACCCAGGAACCCGAATATGTCTGGAGAATGCTTTCATCACATGTTAAAAAAGGCACCTCATGAGTTAATGTACCAAACGTCCGCTTAGTATCCTATTTAAAGCCCATTTGATTTTGAAAGATTCTAAAAAGCTATTTTTTTCCTGCTCAAACGAGAACCCTCCCTCTCGCCTGCTTGACTGAATTTTCAAGCTCTAAAATTTGGCATCAAAGCCACTTATGAAGCGATGCACTTTTCGGTATCAAACCGCTGACTGGGATACTGTAGCTTCCCCAAACTACCTATTTACAACCCTCTATATGCAGCACATGACCAAGTCACTTACTACGGACATTCTATTCCCAACAACTTCCTCATAAGAGCAATACTCCACGGCTTATACAGCAAGTTACCCGGAAATTGCTTCTATTCATCCTGCAACGACGTATGACTAGCCTTCCGTGTTTGGCAATGTGAATGAGCTTTCCAGCCACTCACATATGGTGCCAAACAACTTACTGCACAACAAAACACTTTCAGCTAAGTAAATCTTACCAAAGCCCAAACGATTTAACATAGTTTCCGCTCAAAATTTGACTCAATTTCACCGTATGCATGGGAACAAACAAAGTCAGCAACACAACAAACATTTTAAAATTCGACAAAACAAATTTCTGAAGGCAGTTATGCAAAAGAGTTGCCGCTTATGCGGATATATTTCCGGTTTGTGCACAAAAAACTGTCTAAGAAGGGGGGGGGGGGAAGTGTGCTTGCGCGTCATTATTTTCAGGAACCCATACAAAAATGCGGTAAAATTCTAATTCCAATATGAAAACTTTTAAGATTCTGCAATTTTTCGATTTGGAACACATCATACACATCACGTTCATTTCATCACAGTTAAGAAGTTCCAAAAAAGAGTTTTCCAAAAATCCAGAAATCAAAGAACAAAATCTTCGTCCCGGATCCCAAACCACATGCTCTGTACGAAAACTCCTAGACAAAAAAATAACAGGCTCGTCTTTCAAAGATCCCTCAGGGAAACGTCTAGCGCATAACGAATTTGTTCCGTTTGAATTCGTAGTACAACATTTTTAGACGAGCGGGTAAACAAAAGATCTACCGTGCGCCTTGCAAGGCAATTTCGTTGTGAGGAAAAAAAACCAAATCTGATTACGCAACCAGCTTCGTCTAGAAATCTTCTGTTCTTTTTTCAACCAACTAAGCCAGCTACCCTATTTTTAGCACTAGAAATTACTGCAGGAAATCCCCGAGCCTCTCCTTTCCTCTGCAAGCTCTTCTTATTGCTGATCCTCCTTCATTCTCACAGAATAGAAAATTATTTACGACATGGCTTTTGCCACAGCTGCGCTATTATTAGCGCCTTCTTTCTTATGATGCTTTCATGCTTTCAGCTAATCTGGCACAGATGCACACAAAAAAGTACCGCTGTAAAGCTTTCAAAGGATATCCTTTTGTTGACGTCGAGCTCAACATCCGCACTCGTAAACAAACGATGCCGTTCTGGGCAAAAGTGACTGGATCAAGTAAAAATGTGACATGCGCATGATGAATGTTCTCAAATCCACGGACAGCAGGAAATCGCTCCAGGCTATTTGGAACAATCTAAGCATCGAAAGTGCAAGAAATGCTTTCCTCTAAGAGTGAAGACACGAAAATTCCCAAGCAAGTTTGCAAGATCAACGATTCAGTATTTTACGAAAATTTTCAGTTTAACCAATTTTTCGCAAAAATGATTACCAACCTGTACAAAGTGGTCAACGAAAATCCATGCTTCTCCGAGTTATAGATGTTGACCCATGGATAACCTTCTGCTCGTGGTGGTAGAATGTCCATGATCTGCAATAAAAAAGGAATAAGTCGGCAAATTCGCTCCTTTCTGACTATTTTTCAAACTCGTAGTTTCATTAGCAGAATTCATAATTCAGATAACCATTTTATACTTAGTATTCATGGAGTTTTCGGAACAAGCCATTCCGCTAGAAAATCTCTCCAGTGAATTTAAGATAACCGAAACTATATTTATACTTTATCGGTGAAGTCCGGAATTGCTGTAAAAAATAAAAATAAATTACATTGAAAGAAGAGCTGAAGTATAGCAAGGGGCATAAGAAGTTTTCTTTCGCAATTTAGTGAAGACCAGTTCTCGCCACGTATGACTAGTTATTGTTCAGACGATTTTGTAGCAAAGTACCGGTCACTTGCCAACTAAATTTTTAGGTTCTTGAAACCTACACCTTCAACCTACCTTCCCCCCCCCCCCCCACATGCATCACGTAGTTTTTTGAGACTAAAGCCAGAAAGTGAACCCACTTAGCTTCACTCAAAGACCACTCTCTCACGGATATACTACCCGCGCTGCAAACTTCTCAAAGCTCCAAAAAAGTGGACAAATCTCCTTTGTATTACACCCACACCCACATGCTCGACTACAGCAGACTAAGCTTTTCAAGAAAAAAGCCTGCTCCCATCGAGCACGCGAATCAGTACTTTGTGTCGCAAGTCATTAGCGATGAATCGCAATGGTTTGTTGATGAGAAAGAGGGAACGGAAGATGCAAGCCAGTATTTTAACGATGTGCCGCGTAAAGCCGCCGCGGCCCGCATTTGATTGTGTTGGGATCAGTGAGGCTAATTTTTGCAAAAGAAAAATAATTGAGATCGTTATTCGCCGCTAATAATTTTGGAAAATATACGAGAGCGGAAAAAATGCTATAGGTGCTCGTTGCGGTGCAGGAAATGAAGGCAATAAATCTGGCTACGATAAGTGCGCTCATAAGCATACTTTATCCTTGACTAGACGTCTAGGCTTTATATTTGTACAACTTAAAAACATTAAAATCCAACTTTTCAGGTCTTTGATCTCCGCTTCCCAATCCACAATACTGTGGCTCCCTATAACTTCCTCATCCGTCGCCACCCGCGTTATATTATGAGATTACCTCGGATACGCATACGAGCTATCCATACGACAAGATATTAGTTCGGCGTACGAATCTCATGAGGATAAGGAAGCATCCCAAGAAATTACCCTCAAAATCGAGAATCCCAGACCGAGTTATTTACCTTAGTACCAGATTTAGCAATTACGGAAATGGGCTTTTGTTAAGAAAAGAGCTTCAAACTGCATATACAATAACAAACTAGAAAAAACCCACAGTAGTTTTAGAGAACCAAGCTTTCCCCCCCCCCTCTCCTTCAAAGGATGTTTCCAAGAAAGTTTGAATTCCCAATGACCGTACATTTCCCAAACGGGGCTTGAATCACTTCGCAAGACTGGATCTTCCAATAGTAATGGACTTCGGAGGTTGAAAAAAGAAGAGAAAATACTCTTAAACTATATGCAGACACTATATTAAAACTGAGAAAAACCCAAACTTGTATTTTTAAAGTAAGTTTGGAATTTTCTCCCAGAGGCCCAGACAGAACCCATCGCGCATCATTGCTCAGACTGATTTCCACCCTTGTGATATTTATGCACTCAAGGCAACAAACACCAAAAATGAAATCTTTTGCGCTGCGGTTAACGTAATTGCTTGGCACTACACAGAGCAAGAATCGATCTTCATTTCATGGAGATTCGATTTGAATCCAAATAAACCGATAAATAAACAATAAACCTGGCCTTAGCTACTCATTTCTATCATTAAAATACGATTATAATTATGACGGTCATAACGAACCGATAATAGGCTCGTACAACAAATTGTAAATTTTTTTCATGAATCAGTAAACGTCCAAATTTCAAAGAGTCCAAAATCAAATGATTTTTCTGATGTTGATTTCATTTAAAGTTCTTTTTTTTTCAACAAAAAAGTCAATCAAATATGGCTTCATTCATATCTTTAGATCAACAAAATTACCTGGCGAAACATGCTGACCAGCTTACTCACATAATAACCCTCAGAGCTCGAACTCCACAAAAAAAATGCAAATTGCTACTCGAGCAGTCTTCCATCACTCAGAAAATCATCATATATCAGCCTTTTTTCTTTTCTTGCTACAGTAAATTCAGCACAATCTACACTTTGAAGGACCATCGATTATACCACGAAGTACACAAAATCTTGTCTCTCCATACCCCCCCCCCTCCCACGTCCCAATTCTTCCATTATACCAGCATCTAGCGTGCCAATTTGCATCCATATTCATTAGGAGCCCTAATCCGAAGTAGCATGTTGTTTACGACTTTTTCTCAGTGCTCATTATTCAAGAGATTTTATGGCGGTGTTTTCAATCTCCCTATCTCTGATCGGGCTCTGTTTTACAGTTATGAACGAGCTCCCGATCGGGCGATGGGCCGGTAAAGCAGCGCTCGTCCAAGGGTCTTGGAGATGTCATATATCGCCCCTCATGGCTATCAACATCTGAGACAAGTAGCCCATGTCAAATGTCTACAGCTCGGAAATCCTATAGAAGTTCATGTGTCAGCTTAAGTAAGTACATGTTGGCAGCATGTGACATCCGCTCAAAGAGGGATACGATATCCTCTCAGGAAGGATAAATTAGTTTTATCCCTGTAAGTGCTCTCAACAGCAAAAAATCTTGACAGCACTTCTAGTAAAGTAAATTTTGACTCCCACAACTTCTGCAAAAATCTCGCCTCTTGAGAACCTAAAGTGCTTGTTTTCCACGAATCCTCGCAAGTCAATCGAGACATTCAGCTAAATTTGCATGCACTTTCGCATTTTGTCACTGAGTCTATGCATGCGCAAGAGTTATGCCTTTGAAGAGAACGAGCTCAACCGCTTTTTTATCGTAAATAAGCCTTGCATGCAAGCAATTTATTAGGGCCATTGAGCATTTTACTGCAACATGACGAATCGCATAAAATTGAAAATTGCGACTATCATAAAAATCACCCTCGCGTGATTTTGTTGCTACAAACCATTTAGGTGCTCATGGAGAGCATTATTTAACCCATTAATGAAAAAGGTGACATCACAAACTGAAAAAATAATTGATTCTTGCAAATGAAATCACGACCGAGATAAGGAGAATGCGGTTTTAAACCACAATCAAAAATTTTATCTGTTGCTTTATCAACTCCAGAAAATAAACAATCACAATAAATTATTCAAGTAATAAAAAAAACAACCATCTTGACCTTAATTTTCTCTATCATGGCCTTTTAACTAATCAAAAGCTTTCAATCAGTGCCAATAAACGCACAAAAAACATTGAATTCAATTTTTTGGTCTTCGCCTCTCAAAATTAACAGATTCATTCTGAGCTGATAAAGCATTTTGTGAGAGGAAAAAAATTGATGAATGGAAGGATATGAAGCATTCTCACTGCACGTAAAGAAGAGCTCATAATGAAACTTGTAGATGACACGAGATTTTAACATCTCTACGCTCATTTTCGCGCATATTAAGACCCTGTGGAACGGGAAATTTCAAGGAGATCTCGGCAAGTTGAATACTATGAAAAGCGGGGCAGAAAACTGGATGAAATACCAAAATTTTGGGTTCGAATTTCAAATTTTTGAGGACAAACACACAAGAAAACCTTTTTCATTATCAACTATTCCGTATCTAGATAGAATTATTTTTAAACTTCAAGAAAGGAAAAACAGGCACCATTCCATATTTCAAATTTACGATCACCATAGGGTCAAATCAAGCCAAAGTATAGTATTTAACAAAGAAATTTCTTTGAACATTCATCACTCCTTAAAACCGTGAAAACTCGTACCTGTCGAATCATTAACTCGTCCAGAATCTGCGATTGTGCCGCACCTTCTGGTATGGGCATTTCAAGTTGTTCGATTTCGTCGAGCGATAGCCGACGGCACATTTCTCGTACCGTTACCAGCTCCCATTCTCGATTCAGGAGTGAAGAACCGAATAGTGGTGCCGGCCTGTCGCCTGAAACTCAAAAATTTAAAACTTCAAAATTTCACACCTCAAAATTGTGGTTTTTCTTCTGAATTCTGCTTGCAAAATTTTCTATTTTTGCGAGAATGACATCATCACAGCATTGTCACCACAACCACACACACACAACACCCAGCAAAACCGGTAATAAGGTAAAACGAACCCTCATCAACCATGAGAATCTCATGATCGATCATTTCGCCAATTGTCGAAACCATTTGACTGAATCGTCGTTGGCTAACATTTTTAGCTTTGCCTAGCGGTATCGACAACCGCCTTACAGACGATTTCAGATCAGTAATAATAGGTGGGGTTGAGCCGTCTTCACATGAAACTGCGCTCAAACTCGACGCTAACGACGTCGTCGACGCATGCACCTTGTCGACAAAGTGCGCAAGCATGACGTCGGGTTACGGTATGTATACGATAATAGTCCAGAAATCACACAGATATCACACGGGCCTTCTAGTCCAGTAACGAACACTCTGCAAGTGAGCTCCAATATCAAAGTGTCTAATGTCACGGCGAGCAACGATCTATGGATCTTCGCGCAAGAGAAGCAGATTAAAGGGTTCCACCAACAATTGATAACCCTACAACCCATAAAATCAGGTGAAGACAAGCTTTAACGCATCACAACATAGACAGAGTACTGTAGGCGTACTGTAATATACCCCACTACTACAGAAAACCCATTCAAGTAGCAAACACGCTTGCCAAATGAACGTACGCGCGCCTCGGATGAGGGAGGATAAGGCTCCGCCCCTCAATGGGGAGGGAGAGATTTTCAAAATACGCTCTACGCCAATTTGCGACTATTGTTATTTTCCCAGATGTCACCGTAAACAAAAAAAAGCTAATGCTGTTGCAAATAACAGAATATAAGAGGATTATAAAAGTAGGATTATATATTAGTTCACAAATCCTCTCATAAAAGTTCGACTCCCATACTTTTACAAATGTTTCTTGCAAATGACCTAGTGGAAAACTCCTTCCCTAACTATTTGAACTTAAATTTCAAGAAAAATCTGGTCATCCTGCAATTTCGCCATCTCTAACGTACAATTAGAGTGCTCCCACACAATACCTGTTGAGCCAGATTTTTCTCCAACATAATTTTCAAAGAAAAAAGCATTTTCCCGAAAGAGTTTCCGCTGGATAAAAAAGCTAGAAAAATGTGCGTGGGTAGAAAATGGTAGACCATGATTTTAAGCCATTTGACAAGTGTCGAAATGGCATTATATCAAGAAAACGAAGATGTCTACGAAGATTTGTTATCATCCAAAACAAGATGTAAATCGGATCACGTCTAGGCTCAAAGGGTTTTATAAGTAGATTCGATATAAAACCAGGTTTCTAGTCGCTGATATCATAAGAAAACTTATGAGGGAACGTTGAATACTAACGTGAAAAATTGTATTCACAATTCAAGACAATTTTGTGAATTCATCCATAAATACTTGAGCTACAAAATCACATCTAGTGAATTTCTGCGTTATTACTTAAACTTTGGAAAACTCCAAAAGCACCGGTTCCATGACAACCGGCGGGCATACAAAAAATGGAAATCACAAATCCTTTTTCTTTTTTGAAAATTTACAGTCTGACTCAGACGGTAGTGTCTAAGGCATTTTTCAAAGTAGCAATTTATCAGAATCCTATACATTATTCTCGTAGTTAGGTTCGTTTTAAACTTTTTTTAGCATCAATCATGAATACAAGTAAACGAAGTTCAATTTCAAAAATAAGGCTAATCACGAAGGCAAACGTGATTCATCAAATAGCAATTAAGTGATTGTAGCTTTCAGAAATCCTAATTCTGAGCTCAATAAGCGATAATTTGTTGAAGCTGACCTGTCAAGAAAGGAGAATTTGCAATAGGCTATGATTTTCATGAAACAGAGGGGTAAAAATAATCATACCTATAATAACCCCTGAGCGCAGCAAGCTTTTCGAAGAGCTACAAAAAGAAAAGAAAGACGATATATTCGGAGCTTACCGATTCCGCACGATCTAACGCCACAGACGAACATCATGACATCATCACTTCCTTCACCCTTTTGTATTTGAACTCTACTTTGTCAGCATTATTTATTCCTCTTCATTCTTTCTTTTGAAGCCTTCCTGTGAACTACTGATGAGAGGGTTTCTGAACCCGGGGGCGGCAGGAAGGCCACACATCTGGTCTAGTTCAAGCCCCGAAACCAGAGTGTGAAAAAGAACCTTGGATAGCATATTGTTTTTCATACTCATATTGGACTCGCGCTCGCTCTGCATTTTACCAAGTTCTTCAATCATCAATTTACTAACTCTTCTCTTCTTATCATGTGCATCTGTTTTCAAACCATTACATATAGTATCCTAGACCATTACATATAGTATCCTAGTGCATCTATGGCTCTCTATGGATAAAAACTAGTCTTCGCCACAATATACTAGTTTGATTACAAAATCTCAGTACTATGAGCCCAGCACAGACAATCAGATGACGAGTAGTAAAAACTAAACTCATGGTAGACCCAGACACAAATCTCTCTAGAAACTCCAGATTTCAGCAAAAAAACTATTACTATGGAAAGTACAAACTTCAAACACCACTTCCACGCTCACTAAAAAGTTTGATGTTTGGATTCAGAGAAAAATACTCTGAGAGCACTTTTTTGCGTTAGGCTGCAATAAAATCATTACCTTGAGTCAACAATAAAAAGGAAAAACCGGGCTATAATTTTTTGATCTTCTGACCATAAAACGCAGATTAGCTTGATCTTGCTGTAGGGCTGCTAGGAACTGCTTTATTTTCTCCTCCACGGATTAATAGAAAAAAGTCCCTGATTTACGGCTTTATATAAGAATTCCTCCCACAATATAAAGTGCAGAAACTTCTTCTCAAAGAAAAATATGAACCAAAAACTGAATTGCCTCCTTTTTGAAGTAACGCATCTAATCTTTTTTGATAACTTCACTCAAAAAAAAAATTAAATTCAGATTCTTGCTCATTTCTTCAATCTCAAGTTCCAAGAAATCAACTTACTTCTTTTTTAAGCCATTCCAATAACTAATTTGAATAAATTATGCAACTCGGGACTTTTGAGCTGCACATCACATTATCATAATTTCATACATCTGATGATTCCTCGCTTGCATGAAACGAAGCTGGAGCCTCATCACAACAATTAGCAAATGCAAATATTGGCATTATCAATGAGCAGAGAGGTTGCAAACAAAGCTGTGACGGCTGTTCAGCAATGTCGGGACCAGTTTTCGCGCCCAGATCACCTGTATTCGACAAAGCAAAACTATTATTATTGCCCTTATGTTTTTAGTGCTACGCATACAATTTTCAGCGAGATTTTGAATTTTCAATTAAAATTAAAGTTTAACTACACAGTCAAGAGCATAAACATCCGAAAATAGAGTGTTAAGTACATTCGTATATTGAAGCACATGTATGTCGTCCTCGTAGGAAGCCCTAAGGCACCTGCACTATACGAGAGAGAGCATTACATTTCTATTACACCTTTCATTCACTCTTAAATGGAAGCTATGGGAAGCAACAGGGGGAGTATTGACTCGCCGTCACGAAATTCTCAGAAAACAGCAGGAAAATGGAAGGAAAATCAACAGACTTTCTCACGCCGCTTGTAAAAAGGTTCTTAAGCTAGCTAGCACGCAGAATGTCTGAAAAGCAGTACACCCACGAAAGTTTCCAGGAACGCGATTCGCATTGGGGGTAGTAAGAATAAGAATGTGCAGTAGAGCGCACAATCTTAATGCAGCTAATTTAGTCTTTCCCCTTAGAAGGGTCCAACAGGAAGTTTTACGGGGAAGTCCCTTAATAATATTTTGTTGACCTATTCCTTAGGAAGTGACTAATGCATGTTTGCTTCCTAAGGCCGCAAAATAAGGAGCTAAAGAAGAATTCGAATGAAGCAATTTAAGGCAATTTAACAAATCTTAATTCTCGGTTGCTTATGTGAAGACTGATTCGGGGGCCCTAACCACAACTGCCCAACTGGCAGTTCATTTGATTCATTAGAAATCAAGAAAGTCATGTTTAAACTCTTGCCCAGTACCGTAATTTTCCCAAACTCAATTAGTGAGTACGGTGATGGGCGAGAGTGTACAGTCGAATTTCATAACCGTGAATCAATCAAATGATCTGCCTTTTGGGTATTAACTTAGTCAAAGTCTCTCAATCAACTTCCAGTAAGAAGTCCAGACATGAAGATTTGCACGGACACTTCCTTGAAATGCATGGGGACCAGTTCTCGCCTACTCTCCCTCTTTTAACTTAGAGTTGCAAAATACACCCAATCTACAGCTGCTTGGCAACATAGTTCACCCTACACCACAGATCCACAAATCTTTTACAGTAATCTCCTCATCAACCCTCTTTCGTTGGGACCATAAATCAAACAACGGATAACGCGTATCCAAAGAGGGATCTGCCCGTGATCAACAACAAAACACATATTGCATGGTAAAAATAGCAGCAACGATCAGCATCATGCAACCTTCAAAAAACCACCACGGAATTACGCTTCGTTGAACTAAACTAAATGGGGATTCCGTCTATTTTGTTCAGGAAAAAGCGAAGAAAAAACTGTACTATTAGACCTCATTATTTCTTATCGCTGCTCTTCTTTTAGTGAAGCACTTTCTTCAGTTTCAATGAAAACAATAGCTTCAACAGATGGTCAATTGTCTTCATTGCTTTAAGACCAATTACGAGACGGAAGATCCGCATAGAAGTTCTTTCCGTAACGTAGTTCATCATAAGTGTTCTCCCACGATTCTTTGCACTACAAATTGCCGCTAGCGCTTTGTGCTATTCACGAGGGTTTTAAATGACGGCTATGCATAACTAGTTCAGCCATTAGCTGTCTATAAAAGAAAATAAAGTTTGCTTCATGAAAGATGATGCGCAGGTTGAACTAAAGTAAATAATTCAGATTTCAAAAAGTAAAATCCCGCAGATTTTTTTGTTCAAA